AAACAGAGTCTCACTCTGTCACCCTGGGTAAAGTACCACATCATAGTTCACAGCAACTTCAAACTCTTGGGCTCAATTGATCCTCTTGCCTCAGCTTCCTGAGTAGCTGGGATCACAGGCACCTGCCACAACACTTCTTTGTTTTTCTATTTTTAGTAAAGACAGGGTCTCATTCTTGCTCAGGCTGGTCTGGAACTCCTGAGCTCAAGCAATCTACCTGCCTCTGCCTCCCTAAGCACTAAATACAGACATGAGCCATTGTATCTGGCAATATTATGGTATCTGTATATTTAATTCTTTTCAGGAACTTCCGTACCATTTTCCACAATGGCTGTACTAATTTATATTCCCATCAACAGTACAAGTGTTTCTTTCTCTCCACACCTTTGCCAACACTTCACTTTCATTGCTTTTGTTAATAGTCATTCTAGCAGGTATGGGTGATATCCTATTATAACTTTCACTTCCATTTTGCTAATGATTAGTGGTGCTGAGTGTTTTTCCATATACCTGTATATCTTCTTTTGAAAAACGTCTATGCAGTTCTTTGCCCATTTCAAATTGGGTTGTTTTCTCGCTCTTGTGTTGTTTTAGTTTTTAACATATCTTGGATATTAACCTCTATCAAATATAGGGTCTGCAAATATGTTCTCCCATTTAATATGTTGTCTTTTCACTCTATTTCCTTGATAGTGCAGAATATTTTTAGTTTTATATAATCTCAGAATTCTGTTTTTTGCTTTTATTGCCTGTAGTTTTGTAAAGTGTGCTCTGGCTTCGGGGAGGGATGTGTGCAAAGTAAAAGCATCCTTCCTACCTTCTCCTTGTGTCTCTTCTTATTTCTGTGTTACGGCCATGGCTCTAATCTCTCCCATAGATTTCTTAGCTTCTGTGGAGCAGTCCGGAGTCCTGCCCACCTTCTTCCTATTCCCTTGCTACTTCTGGTTGACAAGAAAGCCGAACACTTCAGTAAAGACCTATGTTAGAAGCAAAGATATTATGCAATTATTGAAGTTTAAAAGGTCAACTTATCCAGCCCCGAGGAGAGATATTATTTGTTGAATTTCATGATTCTCTCCTCTTTCCTGAAAGCACTGTGAAAAAACACATATATGCTTAAATTAGTCAATTTAAGCTGAATTTTTGGGATGTATAGAGTTTTACTACCACACTTGAGATCAATGGAGATGGTTCAGCACAAAGTGAGGCATAAGTACAGATTATGGCATTGAGCAGATGAATAATTTGGAGCTTCTTCAGGCATTTATTCAGTATTTATTAGAAGATAAACATGGGGGAAAGGTAAGGAGGAAACTTCTGGAGGTAGTTTAATTTCCACTCTCAGCGGCTGTTCCACTCAGCAGCCCAGCCTTCTGACCCACACCCCGTCCAGCACAGTCAAAAAGCCTGTGAATTATCCAGACCACACTTTTGGAGAGGTCTGCCCTATAGGGCTGTCGTCCTTACCCTCTGTCCAATCTTCTGTTATAGATTACCAAGTTATCCCACCCAATCACATATTCCTCTCCCTCAGAGGAGTTGGGTTAATGCAGTTTTCTTCCTTTTAAATATATTTCTTGTGATTTTTTAAAGTATGCCTTATAGATTATCTTGAGGCTTGAGGGGACTGGCTGCCTGGCCTGACCTTTAATCCAACTCAATTTGGGAACCAATGGCAAGGGAATAATCAATAAAAACCAATACCCTACAACATCAATTTATCAGAAATAGCCGGTCTGCCCTATAACTCATTTTCACATTCTTCTAGAAAATCAATAGCGAGATGGCTCCATGCCATTCCAGGCTGTAATTCTCAAAGGAACAGCTGGACACACACACATACACACACACCCCTCATCATTGGAACTGTGTTTAGTGAAACATATAATTAAGGAATATGGCAATTTAAAGAGGGACTATCAAAGTAAACTAATTTATTACTTTGATATCGATTCCTTCACTTAGAAAATTTCATTATAGCTTAAGTCATCTTACCAACTTTTTGTATAATGAGTAATAAGGTTTCGTTTTTTTTTTTTCTTTTGCCTAATTCTTGCCTGACACTTGTACCAAGTCACGAGAGTATAGTAAAATTGGGGCTGTATGATTGTGCCTGTTTGGTTAGAAGGTGTTTGAGAAGGGAAGTGGGTATGTTTTCCTTTTTAGTTTTTCTTTCAGAACTGAGCTGCCCACTCACTCCTGAATAAGAGAATGTGGGGAGAAGAGGCATATTTTTACTCGGGAAGATTGTGTTCTCTTTAATGCGCAGGCTATTTCAATGGAAATGATGCCTTGGAAAGAACAATTGTTATTTATAAAGAAGGCTCCCTTCAGTGGCAAGACTTGTCTAAAATTCCTAAGATGTTATTTTTGCCTTAGAACATTTCTCTGAGTTTCCAGCTATCCCCTTTTCAGGTCACTTGCCAGAAAGAGATTGTGGTGGTTTGGGGTGACTTGTCGAGGCTAATCAGAGCCCTGGACAGGGCTATCCCCCACTTGAAAACTCCCTCTCAGTCCTGTGTTGTGAGTTTATCTTCTTTATTCCACCAGCTTAGAACATCACACTGTGTGGGGCTGTGGAGGTCACGTCTCTTCCACCTGCCAGGTCTCCAGGTTTTTTCTAACCTCCCCCTTAAGGAACAAATACCTTTGTGATTGGTAAGATTAGAGAAAGTTTGCTGGTGAATGAAATCACTGTATTAAAAAGTACAAACTGTGTGCCCAGGTCTCTAACAACAGGTGCAATTTTTTAAATTTTCAATTACTACTTTAAGAACTTTACATATGTTAACTCAATTAAGCCTCATAGCATTCCTCCGGAGATGCTACTGTTTGCACTTTTTTTTTTTTTTTTTTGGGGGGGCCGGGGCTGGGTTTGAACCCACCACCTCCAGTATATGGGGCCAGTGCCCTACTCCTTTGAGCCACAGGCACCGCCCTTGTTTGCTCTATTTTTAGATCTGGAGAGGGAGGCTCAGAGGAGTTGGTAACTCACCTGAAATCAGTTAATCAGCAGAGGTGGGATTCAAACCACGGCAGTCAGCTCTGGAGCCTGTGCAGGTCACCGTTGTGCTGGGCTCTGCTTTACTGTCCTGTTCATACCTTCTCCATGGTGTG